GGTATTTAATGTTCGGCTCCGCCCGAACTTAGACTTTCTTACTTGTTTTAAGTTTATTTTATTTTAAGGTCTTGTTGTTTTTTTTTCAATTCATAAATACCCATTTTTTTATTTGTTCCTGTCTGCTGTTTTATATTTCATAACAATATAAAGTCACTACAACTATGGCTTATGTCAAATACCCTTATACAACTAAGAAGAAGATATTGTGTAATAAATACGATCCAAACATGATTGGTTTTTTTTTTGCTTATGTGCAAACTACTTTTTTTGCTTTTTTTACGTTTAAGTTTTTTATGATTTTTTTTTTTTTTTGCTTCCTTTCATAATTATTTTGTTGTTTTAAATAAACGCAATTTCTAGAAGTCGATGACATGAACGTCGGTTGGCTGGAATATTTTACTGAAGATGAACTGATGGATTGCTGACAGCTGCTGAAAATTTCCACTTTTACGCTTTTTAGTATATTTTTACTTTCCAAATAAATAGGTGTCTACAACAAGCACGCCGCAAGGTCACAGTGATGCTGATGGTAATTTGCTTACAATATTTTCCACGGGGCAGCAAGACTTTACTTGACATGAAAAAATAAAAATAAACAAATAAAAGAAAATAAATAAGCATTATAAACATCGCAATTGATTATGTTTTCAAAAAATTTAGACACAGCCAAAAATAATACTTAATACAATACAGCCATAAAATTTCACGTATGTACATAATGCAATCGTATTTATCGATTATGGCGTTCGCACTTGTTTGTAATTTAGCAAGATTTGCGCAAAAACTATTTGAATATTTCTCAATGAGTTATTTACAGTGAAACTCATCGATTTTGGTTTTGTTTTTTCTCTGTGAACAGCGAAAAATCGCTTTCCCATCGCAACAACCCAGCCGTATTGGCATCCCAGCGGCTGCTTAAATGTTGACGTCATCTATATGAGAAAATTTGAAATTAAAAATTATTTGTGAATGCCGTGAAATGTACGTATTTTTAAGCAGCAATAATAAACAAATATCTAACTATAATATAAACTTAGTAATTTTTATATATTGGTACTAATTCCAAAACTTCAAGTACATTTAACATTGTATATGTACCTTCTTATTTGCTCATTTACAGGCCTAATGCATCCATTTTCCATTCAGCCATATTCAGCCACAAAAAAAATTAAATTTATATTTTGCTGTCGACAGCAGACCAAATGTTTTATAGCACTTAGTACGACATTGAAATGGCGAAGAAAATGTGTGCTTTTAAATCACTTTTTGCATGGCGCTTCAAACTGTATTAATGTAAAAATTAATGGCCTACATGAAATGATTGGCAAAAGTCCATTAAACCACTTGAAATGGCAAACATATGGTAACTTTTAGAAGCAATATGCATTGCGTATATTTTTATACTAAAGGCCGGTATGCAGCTCTCAAGAAAAACAAAAACTTCATGCAAAATTACGTACAAGAAATGGCTAAGAATATTTCTTGTGTAAAATTTTCTTGAGACAGTACGCAGTTCTTAAGAAATTTGCTACGCTTTCTACTAAAGTTGTTTTGTGAAAAAAGAGCACAGCGCAACCCATGCTGGCAAGTTCGGACTAAAACCTGTGGAACTGTCAAACTACAATTTTACTCTCTCAAATGAGAGTAAAAGGAGAACAGATGCAGAAGTGCATAGGAACGCAAAAAGCACTATTTCCTGTAAAAACGTCAGTCGGTTTGTTTACATGTCATTTGTACAACACTGATTTAGCTGAAATATCACTAAATAATTATTAAAATCTATATATATTCAAACATTTCGTTCTTTACTTCCATTTTTTTTACAAATATAAGGTACTTTGCTTTCACCGCTGTTTGTTTTTGCTTGCACATGCAAATCAGCTGATCGTTTGACACTTTTCATGAACTTACAGGAAAAAAAATACGGACTAAATCCTGTAACTTCTGACTAGGAACAGTTGCTCAGTTACTCTCTCAAATGTGTTCCCACTTACAGGTTTTATGTCAATAGGAACGACTTCGTGTAAGTTCTGACTAAATCCTGTAAACCGGACTGCTATTGGAACAGACTAATTATTTCTTGAGGTAACAGCGAGGCAACAGGCTGGTGAAGTATCAGATGTCAAAATTCCTTGGGCACACCCACAAAATAACGGAGCTGCATACTGGCCTTAAGCAGTATGTAAGTAATTCAGTACGCCTCCCTTCACATTGGAGTGTGTTGCAATATCAGTTGGTTTCTTTCGGAAAATTTCAACTTTTTATTTTTTATTTGGTTACATGTCTATGAATTCTAGTCCCAACACAAAAGTAGATAATCTCGGATTGGTAAAATCAAAGTCTAAAACATTTTCGAAATAGTTGTATGCAGATAATATTCGGTTTTCAGGTTAGTTTGCATTATGAACCGTTCTAAGGAAACCCTGGAAACATCAAATCGACACAAATTACGCCTGCAACATAGAAGTGAATGCTCCGAAACCCAATACCCAATAAAAATTAGATAGCCTGGGGACAACTTCTGTTACATAAAGTTTGTAAACTAATTCGCCGACAGCTGGAGACATAAGATGCGAAAGGTTCAACAAAATTTAATGCGTGCAGAGCAAAACGTAGAAATACATTAATGTTAACTGTATGACTCGGTATCCGGATAAAAGCAGCATATTCCAATTAAGAACGCACAAACGCAGTAAATAATTAGTCTGTTCTATTGAACTTCGGACTAAAATCTGTGAAACTGTCAAACTACAATCCTACTCTCTCAAGTGAGAGTAAAAGGAGAACAGATGCAGAAGTGTTCAGGAATGCAAAAATCGCTTAAAATATGTCAAACAAAAGAGTCTTAAGAAATCTTTAGTTACTAACCATATTTTTGAGGTGTTTAAAGAGGGATGCCATCTGTTTAGAAAGTTATATTCAAATTATTTAATAAGCTATATTGAGAGGGTGGCCACATTTTTAAAAAATCAAAGTCAACTTAATTCATCAGTTAATTAAAATATGTACCATAATGTCATACGAAGGTAATTTAAGAAGGTTATAGCTTGAAACTGCGTTTGAAGAGAAAGTAGAATTTAATTAACTTATACGGAAATTATTTGAAATACGGGAGTCAAACGAAAAATTGTTATGAAATCTTTAGTTTGAACACTAGAAACATTATTGAGGTATTTTAAGAGAGAGTTGCCACCTGTTTAAAAAGTTCGATTGAAATTATTTTAAAAGCCAAGTTAATAATTAAAATATGGGTATCAGTCGAAATGGGCTTGAAAAGGCTTTTATTCTGTAGTATATTTTGGGGGTTGCCACATGTTTAAAAATCAGATTAAATTTAATTGATCAGTTATTTAAAATATTCATCACGATTCTAGGCGAGGAAATGTAGGAATGCTTTAGCTTGAAAATACTTTTTCGAGGGTTGAAAAGTCGAATTTGATTAACTTATATACAAATTATTTTAAATATTACAATGCGGGTGTCAAACTATAGAGTGCTAGGAAATCTTTGGAAGGAACAATCATAATGTTGTTAAATGGTTGCCACCTATTTAAAATTACGACTATTCAATATACTGCTGCTACTTGGGGGCACTGTTCTAAATGTTTCCACGGAAATAACATATCTTGGGGAAACTCTAATATTTACACTTAGAAAAAATATGTAATCAATTTTATTTTTGTTATGTTAACATCTAAAAAGATATTATTTTTGAATATTTAATCCTGGTAATTTTCTCTTCAAAATTTTGTATTTTTAGCGTTAAAATACGGTTTATTTATTCTCTAGCGTACATTTAGTATACATGCATACATATATCAATGTAAGCTACTGGACATTTATCTTAATTTTTGAAATTTCTACTTGACAATATATTGTGTCACTGTTTAAAATATGAAGCAATGCTATAAATACTACTCGAATAACATATAGAATATTAAATATAATTCCACACACAAAAAAATTTAAGTAGAAGGTGTGCTAAACCAAGCGAAAACAGCCGGCAAAAAAACACAAGTATTAAAAAATCAACAGAAAAGCTTTATATATACAGGAGTATCAAAAATAAATATACGCTGACGTTTGACCATTTTATATATTTATATATATATTTTCCATGCCAAATTTTTCTTATTTTTTTTATAAAAATATACTTCATACTACAGCAAAATCCACAAGAATCCTTTTTTTTTTATTTCATTCAGTAGTCAGGAAAATGCAAGAAATGTTCCTTAAAATTTTTAATTTTTCAATTCTTTTTCTCAGAGAAAAAATTCTCAAATATAAAAAATAATTTTAGCGACTTGAAATTTGCACCTGAATCTCAAATATTAAGAAAACGAATTGAAAATTTCTTGCATTTTAACAAGGCTCTGTATGAGATTGGAAAAGTTGGTTATTGTGGTTTTGCTGTTGAATGTACTATGTATATTTTGATAAAAAAATATGAAAAATTTAGTTTAGAAAATATAATTAAATAAAATCGTCAAAATGTCAGGGTATACCTATTTTTGACGCACACTGTATGTATGTATATAAATTGCAGTATTTTCAACAAAAAATAGTACAACATTTACGGTAAACTTGATGTTGAAAACACGAACATCTATACTGTCGTGAAAATATATACAACGAGGTGCAACAAAGTGACAATGGATGAATTCAAGCAGAGTTTACTTCTATTCGAAAGATGTGAAAAATATAAATTACATGTACATACATACATACATAAATATGCATCTACATATGTAATGTTTTTCCACACACGCGGCTATTGCTGTGCACGTATCACTCAGAAAGTTGACAAATTTTGTATCGAAAATGCTGTTGAAAGTATTTTGGCAAACCCACGGAACGCTCGTTCGCAACAGTGTTGGGAATCGATGCACGCTTTCACACTTTTTATATAGAATACATATGTATGTTCTTAGATATTTTTCTCGATACTGCGCTAGTATTGGTACATGGATATTTAGAGGAAAAATGGCTCATTAAATTTGTTGATTTATAAAAATAAAGAAGTGATATACTTATTTGATGGCATATCTTAAAAAATGTCCCAACGCATAGATACTAACGAACCGCCTGTTTCAAAAAAGCAAACAAGAAATACTAGAATTTTGGCAGACCTCGCATGAAAATCTCATAAAATATGTACATCCATCATACATACATACATATGTATGTATCTATCTAAGTATTTGCATATATTTTCATGTATGTTTTTTGGAAAGTGAAAACGTTCCAATTCCTGATTTCGATTCGATACGCGAATGAATATCTCAATAAAAATGCGCAAAGGAGCTTTATTTTTAGTTGTCGAAATTCAAAAATTGCATCTTTGATGTTGCGAATGACGCTAATTAAGCTATATTGCATCAGCGATAGCAGCAATAACAATTTCTATCTCTTCCATATATTCAGACTCGATTTTCTCAATGAAAACTTCATCATGGCCGCATACAAATTTGTAAGCTTTAAATTTTATGATAACATCTGCGTCTTCCAAGAACGGAGACAGTAGCGATAGCTTTCCTAATTACATGACTAGTCGAATTTTTCGAAGTAAAGGAGGAGGCTAGATGTTCCACTAAGTCGGCGATTTCGTCTGCTCAGGAACCGTAACAGTTACAACTTTTATTAAAAAAATCGCTCTTTAACAATTATTTTTTTACTTTTATTTAATTACTTCTTAAATAACCGTTATTTCTGACTTTTAATTCACAAATCCAAAATAACAATTATTTTTGATTTCGATCTAAATAATCTGCAAATAACAGTTATTTTTGATTTTTAAATTATGTATCTTAGATAACAGTTATCGGAGACTTTTATTTATAAAAGTCATAAATAAAAATCAGTCACTGGCCTTTATTGTTTAAATCATACTTATAAAAGTCATTTGTATAAGTTGTAGTAAACTTTTGTTTCCAACACCTTCTAAACTGCGAAAAATGTTAATGACTTTTATACGAATGATTTAAAAAATAAAAGACGGTGACTGATTTAGATTGATGGCATTTAAAAGTAAAAGTCACTGACTAATTTTTATTGATGACTTTTATAAATAAAAGTCTTCAATAACTGTTATCTAAGACATATAATATAAAAATCAAAAATAATTGTTATTTTGAATTTATAATATAAAAATTATAATTGTTATTTTTTTTTAGTTTTGCATAAAACTTGCAAATAAAAATTTATTTTCAAATTTGAGTCTAGGTGAAAAAAATCGATTAGTATGTATTACTTAGTTGTAGAACATTTTCTTCATAGTAAATTTTTCCATGAGAGTTTTCATCAATAACTGTTATGTTCGGTCCCTGCATCTGCTTTATAATTCACCTGTATGACTTACGGCAATTCTTAGTCAGCATGGAGGGCAGCCTTTTATTTGTCTGTGACCTTATCAATTACTACCACCCCATCTTGAAAGACACAGTCAGCAGCCAACTTCCAGCCATCTGTGTATACATGCACGAATAGTCTCCACCTTTAATTTGGGACCTGAGTTGGATTTCACCAGCGGATAAAAAACATACTGTCAAATTCAATGGTTTGTTTATTTTTTGTATAAAATATGAGCAATTCTTGAAAGAACCCTGGGAAGGCTACACGCTTGGGCTCAGAGAAGCGGCCTAAATGTGAACCCAGCCAAAACAGAACTTATCCTATTTGCAAACAGAAACAAAATACCACAATTCAAACTACCGTGGCTGGACCGCAAGACACACGTTAGCGCAAAGTACCTTGGAGTCGCGCTGGAGTCCAAAGTATCTTGGAAAATCAATGTCGAATTTTATAGGCAGAAGGCCTACATAGCTTACTATACTTTCAAGACAATCTTCCGCAGAAAATGGGGACTAAAACCTAAGCTTGTGATGTGGATAGCTTACTATACTTTCAAGACAATCTTCCGCAGAAAATGGGGACTAAAACCTAAGCTTGTGATGTGGATATATACCGCGACCATTAGACCAATCCTAATGAACGGCGCCATGGTCTGATGGCCCGGACTAAGCGAAAATTCATATAATGTCTGCAAACTAAAAAGCATACAAAGGCAGCAAGCTAGGGGTGAGCAGCGCTAAATGCTCTCGTCAATTTAATGCCTATTGATATCCACCTGAAATAAGTTTGGACTTCAGCTCCAAAACACTCTGTCTAAGTTATCATCGGATGATTTAAAGAGTCTTTTTCACAATATCATAGGCGAATAGAAAAGTCCGGACGGAGTCTTTTGCTGATTATCTGAGGGAGCTTTCTCCGAAATCACTCATCAAGGGAGTCCTAAAGGCACACTTTTTTCATATATATTGATAAGGCACTTTTCTTCAGCGGATATGCTCCTTAGGGACTCTTTTCGGAACCTCCCCACGAGAATAAGCGCTCCGCACAGGGAGTCCTAATTGTGCACCGTGCGGACTCCGCTGGTTGGCTGGGGTATTCGCTAAATTGTGTTAAATCGAAATTAGGTTAGTTCTGGCAGCACTAGGATCTTGGTCAAATAGCAGAGGTGCCGCTTTCAAGGCAGTTCCATAAAGTCTTTGAATTTTAGTATGGTGTAGTAATTTAAGAGAATAACAATAAACAAAATATTTATTTAGTAAATAAAAATATATCACTTACCTCATTTTCTATCCAAGCGAATTCTTTAATTTTTTTTTTGCATTTACGAATTCGTTGACTTAATGTTATTTGGAATTGATTTTTCGCGCATTCATTCTATCATGTAAGACGATGATGTTGTTGTTGTTGTTGTTGTTGTTGCCAGATTTCATGTTGACATCTTTGATGTACATAAATAAATATTTCCAAACTATGACATTTGATGATGATAAATAAAAAAAACTAACAAAAAGTACCCCAAAACACAGGATTTGTGTGTGTGTGTGTGTGTTTCTATGGGGTATATTAAAGTTTAAAACATGAAAATCATGTCTAAGTACATAGTTAGAGTTTTAGAAAACCGCTTCATAGAAAGCCCACAGTAAACCCAACAAGAAGACCAGGATAAGGAAGGTGGTGAACAGACTCTTGGCTTCATTCATTTTGTTGCTGTTGTTGGTTGTTTAAGCTATATGGGGCAAAGTGAAATATAAATAAAAAAATATGTTAAAGTTGTACGGAAAATAGTTTTGATTTTTTTTTTAACTATGTAATATCCATGGCTGAGTGGAAGATCGACCTATCGCGGCAGCCGTTCGAAAATGGTCTATCTCAGAAAACTTTTCAAGAACGCCCTACTTCAGAATTCGATTGAAGAGCGCCCTATCTCACAATTCACAAATGTGCTGAGATAGGACGTTTTTGGATCGGCAGCAGAGATAGAGCATTTTTGAACCAAATTTTCTGATAGGGCGTTCTTCAACCAAATTCTGAAGTAGGGCACTGTTCACAAATTTTCTGAGATGGGGCGTTTTCGAACTCGCTACCGCAATAGGTCGATCTTCCACTCAGCCATCGATATTTAGTCTTTTTAAGCTGTTTTTAATAGGTAATAGAAGAAGAGGTAACAAATAGCTTTGGAATTTTTAAGGCGATTTTTGACACAGTTTTTTCGATCTTTTTTTTTGCTTTTCTTAGTTTTTGCTATTATGTCCTTAAATATGTATGTATATTTGTTTGAATCTATGTATGTATGTATGCAGTATATATATGTTATTTTATAAGCTGTTTTTTTATACTATTTAGCAATCACGCACCGTTGACTGTAAATGAGTTAACTGTTCGGAGCACACCGTTCGTACCGAATGCCTTTGAAAAACTGGCATTCGCATCTGCAAGAATTCTCCAGAAAGACCAGGCCGGTCAATTAGCATCGCACAGCGCCGCACGGAATTGTATCGGAATTGAATGAAAAGTGTGCCGGCAGCAGAATGAATAACATACGAACATACATACAATTGCATAGCCATACATACCACTGGCGGTCATTAGAATAGACTCGCCTTACTTTGAAGAGTTTTGGCTATATTCTGAATAAAAAGTTTAAAAATTTGGTGCAAATTTGTCGATTGTTTATAATTTTTGTATAAAGTTTGAAAAGGGGATTTATATGGTATTTGTTGTATAGCTAGCCAGGCTTTTATAAAAAAAAAAATATTAAACATAAAATAAACCATGGAAATGGCATGGATGGCATGGAATTGCTTGGTTTGGTTTTGTGTAGGCGCGAGAGATCTTCATACTGTACACCAGGGATGGAAAATTAATTTTCCAAATTGTACCTAATATGACAAGAAGATTGTACTAAAAAGCGGACAAATGTACCTAAAAAAAGAAGACACTTTTATATGTACATATGTATGTATATACAACCTTTATTGAAAAAAAAACACATTGCAAGTGTTAACGCGTATAGTTATATACACAGTTATTTGTACTATTCCATTTTTGTACTTTGTATTGCATAGTTTTGTAAACATAAAATTAAATAACTTAGATAAAATACGTTATTTTACGCTATGCGTTTTATATATGTACCTTAGGATGGTCCAAAAAAATTTAGAGTCGGAATTTTAATACTCTCACCCCAAGGATTGTTCTATACCGAAAAAATATGCACCTGCTTTTTATATTGAAATCAAAAAATATTTTGAGGTAGCTTAAAGCGCTCAGAGTTCTTCACATATATTATATTAGGGAAGCAACAATTTTTCGTAGCAATGATAGCAAATATATATATATTTTTAGATCTGTAACCTCTGTTTCTCTTCAGGAGACGTCAAAAAATACTCCGGATTGTTTATATATTTTTTAATATTAACGATTCTTTATGGGTCCCCTATGGTGGAATCTATAAATAATAGTTAATATTAAAAAAAATATTAAATTAATAATTCGGTATTATTTTTTGAAGTCTCCTGAACGGAAACAGAGGTTACTGATCTAAAAATATATATGTATTTTCTATCATCGCTACGAAAAATTGTTTTTCCCAATATAATATACGTGTAAAACTTTGAGCGCTTTGAGCGACCTCAAAATATTTTTTGATTTCAATAAAAAAAGCTGGTGCATATTTTTTTCGGTATAGAACTTAGTCAATTAATTCATTTTCATTAAGGTTTTTATTTTGAAGACGGTAGCCGAGTAAAGTCTCCACTTTCAAATCAAAACAAGAACTTTCATTGCATCTAATTAAGTCCTTTGTTTGTATTAATGCGGCACATGTGCCTAGCGCCAGTTTATTTCTACACTTTGTTTTAACTAGGTTCTGAATTGAAAAAATTCTCTCAATACAAGCAGAGGAGTGTGGTAAAGCAAGCAAACCCTGAACAACGCGAAATATATTTGAAAATACTGGCTGATTTAGTTCATTTTTTATTCTGCCGACTTCAGTCCAAAATTCAGATACAGGAAGGTTTTCGATTTTTTTAATTTCTGCATAATCGGCCAATGCTCGATACTCGGTGTTAATTTGTTCAGCTTTTTTTTAATTCAGTTTCGGGAAACAATTTTAAAATCAGTGGTAAAATGCTATTAATATTACCAGATAGTACTTCCTTCGGCGCAATTGACGGTAAGAGTTTTAAAATTTCATTATTAAAATCTATTCTTTTTCTTAAATCATCGCAAAATTTAATATAAAATTTCAAAATGTTATTTTTAAATTGAAAAATTTCCGATGCTGTTAGGTTTTGGTCAGTGTAAAACAGCTCAGTTTCCGTTCCACAAAAAATGTTTTCAATAGGTATGTGGTTGGCTAAATTCAATGAATATATTGAATTGGTACAAATATTTTCTTTCGCTATAAAATTGCGGCATATTTGATTAAAAAGAAATGTCAAGCGGGGATATAAAACATGAATGTGTGACTCTTCCGCTTGCATTTCTATGTTAACAGTGTTTATAACTTTAAGAACGTACGACAAGAAATAGAAGTACAGTTTTATATTAGAATCTGAAAGGGTACTTGCAATAAACTTATTACTTTCATTGCCAAATCCTGCTTCGAAATTGCATAAATATTGTAAAGTACTCCACTTCTCCAATATCCGTTCAACTACAATCTGAAATCATAATGTAATACTTCAAATAAAAAAATGTATTGAACAACTATTATTAAAAAGAAAATTTACCTGCCGCGAAAGCCATCGTGTTGAACTAAATCGCAAAATCTTATGAACCGCACTTCCAAAATCTTCTTGAAAATTTTCAAACTCTATTTTTCTACTAGCGCTATGACAGAAGTGGTGATTTATAGAGCGAATTAACTTTTCTATTTCTTGTGGAAGAACTGATGCAGCTGCCTCGGACGATAGATTAAGGTTGTGGCATACATCGCCAATAACAAAGATTTTAGGGCAAATTTCTTTTAATTTTGCTTGGACGCCATTTCGTTTGCCCATCATGACACCGCAGTTATCTGCCGTAAATCCCAATAGATTGCTCAACGGAATATCATGATCATTCAAAACTTTTAAAAGGGCATTGAAAATTCCGGCGGAAGAAGAATCAGACACTTGAACAAAGTCCAAAAATCTATCTCTACATTTGTTCGTAAAAACTCTAATAATAACTGCTAAGTTTTTGTCCATAGAAATGTCAGTGCTTTCATCAATGATCACGGAGTAATATGGTTGTTTTGTTATTTCAGAAATTTGTCTGCAGTTTTCAGGACCAGTGACTGACTTTATAATATTTTGACCCTTATGTCTATTTATGCTCAGGTTTGAAATTATGCGTGAATCTTTTACCGTTTTAATACATTTTGCCAAATGGTCCAAAGCAGTAAATAGCAAATTGTGCTCAGCAACGAACATACACAAACGAATCTCCATTGCCTTTGCTGAGCGACTTAATTCCATTTCCTCGCTATTCGGCTTAGTAAAACTCGAAATTTTTAAGGTTGCTTTAGCAATATTAGCATTTTTTTATGGAGGTCTGAATTTGAATGCCGATCGATGTGAAACATATTGCCGTAAATTGGAACACCGCATATCATGCACCTCTTACCTTGCTTTGCGGTAGAGTCTTCTTGGAGCCAATTGTACTTAGATGCCCACTCCCTCTTAAATTTGATCTCATACTTTTACTTTTTCGCCACGGAAACTACGTTGCTTTCTTCGTTATTGCTTAAATATGAGAAAAATGCTATTGGTAAATTTTTTTGCGCTAGTTGAACTTTGTCACACTTACTTCTCATCATTGCCTGCAGCTGCATTTTCACGTTTCTTGCGAACAATCCAACTGAAAATAGTATAAACTTCGTCAAAAATGAAATAGTTTGTATTAAAAAAACGGTTTGAAACTTACTTATCCATTGCAGTTTCTCTAATTTGTCGGCTTTCATTAATTATTCATTCAAATTGCGCGCACATAAAGGCTAGTTACTTCTTCGTTTCACATATCTCGTTCACAATGACATGCTATTAAATGTTTCATTCCCAATGGCACACTATCAAAAAGTTCTATGTTTTAATATGTTTAACCAAAATCCACTTGGCAAAAGAAAATCGGCATACAAATTTCCTTGACAAATAATTTGGCCAAACTTAAAATGTACTTAAAATGGAACCAATGTACCGAATGTACTTTCATGTTGAAAAAGAGCCGAAAAAAGTACAATTGTACCTACTTTTCCATCACTGCTGTACACCTATGTATGTAGTTGGATTTGGAATTGGAATTTTAAAATTAATAGGAAAATCATAATTTTTTTTTTATTATCTGTTGGCAGTTTTGCTTCATTTGGCATTTATGACAAAAACAACAACTCGTTTTGCAAAACTACATTACGCTAGAGATTATACAATATTTCGGAGAAAAAGTCCCGTTATGCGAAAAAAATATTGCAAAAAAATGTTCGCTTTGCACATATATGTATGTGCAAGTTTTCAGGTACGTATGTTTATTAAAACTCCGAAATAAATATATTATCATTAATTCTAAACTCATCAAGGTTCACAAGGCGACAACGCTGCCATCCCGTCTACTAAAACACTGCAAACACTTCTTCATGTAGACCTTTCGGAAAGCTTCAGGCCAGCGATAATACACAGTCAGAAAGGAAATACAGCACTCGATCATACCAGCATTCTAACAAGTATCCTGATACTCTTACGTCTCCAGATTACACACCACGGCCTTTCGAGCTCGAAAACAAGTTCTCCACTGGTAAAATAAATCTTCAGCCGTCTACACATATGGCTCTAGACAAAATCTAAGAGTAGATAGTGGGTTACATTCGAAGGGCCTTTCACTAGTCCTTTGTTTTTGGTCGCCACACCACTGCCGTATCTTGGCTTGTCGAATCTTCGCTTAATCTGCCTTCAGTAACCATAGACTCCGATAGTCAAGTAGCTATTAAGTCACTGGAATGCTGTGAAACCACGAAAAAAATTGCGATAGATTGTAGAAAAGTCCTCAACGTGTTGGCTGCAAAGTCGGGCACAACTCGGATGTTTATATATCTGTGGCATTTTTAACCGACTTCCAAAAAAGGAGGAGGTTATCGGAATATATATATATTTTTTTTAAGTATGTTACCGCATAACTTTGGACCACGTCAACCGATTTCGATAATTATTTTTGCATCGGAAAGGTAGTGTCTCAAAGGTGGTCTAGTTTCGATCCGATCATTCGATCATGATATATATATATATATATATTTCTTTTTTTAAGTCGGTTTTTTTTTGCTAAAAATTGCTTGTATTAAAATAACTTATCTTGAGAAAGGCCATTTTATTGGGTTCCCAAAAAATATTTTAACGAATAACCATAGGTGTAGTTTAAGATGTCCAATAAGCATAGACAGACAGCAGCTTTGATCCGGATTAACGGCGCATTTTATCTGATTATAATTGTGCCTTAACAGACCAGTAGAACTTTCATTTATTTCTTTTTAATTCATTCATTTATTAGTTCTATATATTTAAGGTTGCTTTCAGTTAGTTTTTGTTGACTTTTTTAATAAAATTAGACTCTAATACCCAAATTCATAAAAAATAAAGAACACTTTAATTGCTTTATAAATCGAAATTTTGTATGAAAATGTCACTTTATAGAGCTCTTTAAACCTATTTTATTTTTTATGAATAAGGCCATAAAAATTTAAATTAACTAATAGAAAATAAAAAATATGATATAAAATAAAACAAATGAAAATAAAAAAGGTAAAATTAAATATATAAATCAAATAAAATAAAAAATTCAATTAAATAAAAAAAATAAAATAAAAAATAATAACAAAATAACTTTTGACAACCGCCCCAACCGAGGATCGAACCTGGCACCTACAGACTTGTAACACGCAACTCTCACCACTCGGCTGCCACAGACGCCGAACTCGCTTGCTTTGCTTGCTTACTTGTACAAAAGACAACAGCTGGCCGTTTTTACCAGTGTTGTCATCGAAAATAAAATAACGAGTACGGTCGAGTGCAGTTGCAGTCTTTGTTCCTGATAATTAAAATTAAAATATAACAAGTAAGAAAGTCTAAGTTCGGGCGGAGCCGAACATTAAATACC